AAGACTTTCAAAAAATTGTAATGAGCTCATTTAATAGAAAAACACAGCATTAGAAATGAATACTCTACCCCAATAACAACACAGATGAAATTCACAAACAATGTTGAGCAAAAGAGTAAGTAAGATACATGTTTTCCATTTAAGATACATGTAAAGTAAAGGATGCATCTTATCTAGGCATGTCTACATAAGTAGTATACTATGAAGATGTTCAAAGAAATGATAAATACAAAACTCTGCTTGTGTTCAAACTCTGGAAGTGGAGAAGAAAGTGAGTGTAATGAGTGCATGGAGGGCTTCAAAGTGTTAATAATGTTTTATTTCTCAAGCCGGGTGTTATTTTATTAACATCTGCTTATATCTTATATTCAGTTCATTTATTTACTCTACAAAGATTTGTCAGTCACCTACTATGTGGCAGATGTCATTCAAGGCAGCTGGCGAACAAAACAGATGAAAAATTGTGGCTTTGGTGGAGTTTGTGTTCTAGAAGAGGAATACAAGAATAAATTTTAAAATACTAGAAGTAAGTAAAAAACTATATAGTATGTAAGAGGAAAATGAATAGCAACATAAGTTGTATTGGTAGTACAGGTGGTAGAAGGAAGTTTCATTTGGCATAATGTAGGGTGGGAGGTCTCACTGAGGTGGCATTTGAGCAAAGACTTAAAGAAAATGAGGGAGGATAAGATATTTTGAAAGAAGAGCATTTTAGCAGGTACAACAGCTAGTGCAAAGCCCTAAGGCTGAAGCATGCCTAGAGTGTTCATGGATTAGCAAAGATGCCAACATTGTTGGAGCAGAGTGAATAAAAGAGAAAGTAGCAGAAAATGAGGTCAGAATTGTAAAGGGTGGTGGTTAGAGATATTCTAGGGCCTTGACAGCAAGTGTAAAGGTTTTGACTTTTTCTCTGAGTGAAAATGGGGAGTTAATACAAAACTATGAGGAGAGAAATGAATATTTTTTCTTCTAGTTTTATTGAGATATAATTGACATACAACACTGTATAAGTTTAAGGTATATAAATTTGACTTACATCCATCATGGAATGATTACTACAATAGATTTAGTGAACATCCATCATCTCATATAGGTACAACGTTAAAGAAATAAAAAAATATTTTTCCTTGTGATGAGACCCCTTAGGATTTGCTCTCTTAACAACTTTCACATATACCATACAGCAGTGTTAGTTATTTTCATCATGTTGTACATTATATCCTTAGTACTTACTTATCTTTTAATTGAAAGTTTGCACCTTCTGACTACCTTCATCCAATTCCTCCTGACCCAATTCCAAGCTGACATTTTTTTTAAATTTCCTTTTTAAAGTATCAGTCCCCTGAGGTGTGAAGAATAGACTGCAAGGGGACAAGGATATAAGTGAGATAACCAGTTTAAAGGCCACTGCAATAATCAAGGCAAAACAGAGTGAAGTAAGTCAGAAAGAGAAAGACAAATACCGTATGCTAACACATACATATGGAATTTAAGAAAAAAAAGTTGTCACGAAGAACCTAGGGGTAAGACAGGGATAACGACACAGACCTACTAGAGAAGGGACTTGAGGATATGGGGAGTGAGAAGGGTAAGCTGTGACAAAGCGAGACAGAGGCATGGACATATATACACTACCAAATGTAAGGTAGATAGCTAGTGGGAAGCAGCCACATAGCACAGGAAGATCAGCTTGGTGCTTTGTGACCGCCTGGAGGGGAGGTATGGGGAGGGTGGGAGGGAGGGAGATGCAAGAGGGAAGAGAGATGGGAACATATGTATATGTATAACTGATTCACTTTGTTATAAAGCAGAAACTAACACACCATTGTAAAGCAATTATACTCCAATAAAGATGTAAAAACTAATAATAATCAAGGCAAGAGATGATGGTGATCTGAACCAAGATAGTCGTACAAGAGCTAGTGAGAAGTAGTCAGATTCTGCTCTGAATTTAGAGACAACAGTATTTCCGGATGGACAGAACATAAAATATGAGAGGGAACAAAAAGAGTCTAGGAAAACTCCAAAGTGTTTGGCCTGGGCAAAAAGAACAGAGTTATCATTATCAAGTTAGCACTTCTTTTTCCTTGTAGTATTCTTTTGTAACTTACATATTTTTTTTTAATAAGTGGTATTATGCATACATATTATACTAGAAATTAATTTTCCCTTCAATGTATGTCTTGGAGATCTTTCCGACTCATTACGTATAGGTCTAACATGTTCTTTTTGGTGACTGAAAAACATTCTTGGTGATTCTAGTATTCACATAGGTGATCCTTCCAACACCCTGGTCTCTCTATCCTACCACTTATTCCCATGGTCATGCTTTAGACCTGTGCTGTCCAATATAGTAGTTATAAAAAAAAAAAAAGAATAGAGTTATTATGAACTGACTTAGGAAAGACTGTGAATTTGAACAATAGAAATTTATATTCTCACAGTTCTGGTGGCTGGGAGTCTGAGATCTAGGTGTCAGCAGGTTTGGTTTCTTCTGAGGCATCTCAGGCTTGCTTTATTCTCTTTGTGTGTTCACATGGTCCTTCTTTGCACACATGTCTGGTGTCTCTCTGTGTATCCTAATCTCCTCTTCTTATAAGGACAACAGTCAGATTGGATTAGGACCAACCCATAGGACCTCATTTTACCTTAATTACCTTTTTAAAAGCCCTATCTTCAAATATAATCACATTCAGAAGTATCACATTCAGAATGTGAACAATCACATTCAGGTTAAGACTTCCACGTCTGAATTGGGGCTGCGAGTCGGAGGGTCTGGGCCACAACTGAGCCCATAACAGTGGGTAAGTAGGTTTGGGATGGAAGATTAAGTAGTTTAAGTAAGTACATGTTAATTTAAGATATTTTGGACATCTACATAGAGGTGTTGAGTAGCCAGTGTGACACATGGGTCTAGAATTCAGGGAAGAGATAATACCTAAAGATATAAATTTTAGTGTCAGCAGTGAAGTTTAAAGCCGTGAGACTTGATGAGATCATCAAGGGAGTAAGTTTAAGCAGAGAAGAAAAAGAGGACCAAGGTTGGAGCCACTGGGCTCCCTAAAAGTAAGTAATTGACAATAAGCAAGAGCTATCAAAGGAAACTGACAAAAAACTCTAAGCAGAAGATTCAATAAGCCATGAAAAACAAGGCAAAAGTAGCAAGAAAGAGGGAATGATGCAGTAAATATTACTGAGAAGTCAAATAAGATAAGGTCTAAGAATTGGTCAATGAATTTTTCAATATGAGGGTCATTGGTGAAATTGTTAAGTGTTACATTGGTGAAGGACAGAAACCTGAGTGGAATGGGCCTAAGAGAGAATAAAACAAGAGAACTTGAAGTCAGAGTAAAGATAATTGTTTCAAGAAATTTTGTCTTAAAGGGGAACAGAGGAAAAGGGGAGTGGCTGATGAGGAATACGGGGTCAAGGGAAACTTTTATTTTTAAGATGGGAGAATAGTGCTGATGAGAAAGATCCCATAGAGAGGAGAAAATTGATGACGGAGAGAATTGGTAGAGCAATATCCTCAAGTGAATGAGCAAAATTGTAATCTGCTAGAGGGATTATCTTTAGATGGAAGGAGTAAAAACAATAACAGGCTTAAATACATTATGTATAAATTATATATACCATGTATATAATGTACTGTATAACATATATATAATGCACTTATATATCATATATTATTTGCATATATATAAAGTATTTCAGGCTTAAGTCTCACTTAAGTTTAAGAGTTAATATTTTGCCCGCCTCGCCCTCTGTTCCATTCTTCTGGAAAATGCCCACTCACACTAGGTGGGTGCTTCTGTAGAGGAATGTGGGCTGCTCATTGCCCAGAGGGATGAATATATGATTCACAACAGTTTATAGTAAATGGTTCAGGTATAGTCATGTGACCACTCAGTGTCCTTCCCTGAATTTTTCAAATAAGAGCTGAGGAAATGTTCTTCTTTCCCCTTTGATCTCAGTATTGCAAGGCTGTGAGCTTGAAACTTCCTGCCATATGGATAAGCTGTCCTAGAGAATAAAGCCCATAAAGAGTCAAACAAAGAGAGGATGCAGAGACTAATTTATTCCTGACATTGTTTGTGTCCAGGGTTCTGGTTGTCATTAAGGTCATCTCTACAGAGTCCTTCCCAGTAAACTCAACTGTGAATATCTTTTTTAGTTGAAGCTAAAAGAGGATAGTCAAGGTATTCAGGGACCTACAGAGCTGATACAAATCATACTTCTGGTCTTTTCTTTCTATCATAGCATTTGTTCTTTGGGTTTCATCTGCACTACATTGTAATTGCAATCAAACTTAACTTTTCCTCATCTCTCACACCTCACATCTTAATAATCAGCCAATTCTTCAGCCTCCGCAATCAGTCTTTCCTGAGTCAGAGCCTCACCTCTGCCATTTTAATCCAAGCCACTTCCATGTCTCACCTTGTTGAATGAACAAATAATTCTTGATTCCTGACTTTTTTCTAGGTTTGCTCATTCTGTTCGCCATCTACTCAGCCAATACTGTCCCCTGTACCATGTAGGGTCCCGATCCCTCCAACCTAAAGTGAGTTTTCCCTCATTAAAACTCCTTATATCTCTTACGTGACTCCTTTCATTTTTGCTTTGCCTGTAGTTATTTGGGACCTCTTAATAAGATGATAATCACATTGAGAGCAGTTTGGGTCAACACTGTTTATCTACAACCCCTTATATATACTATGTTCTCAACAAGTATATATTATGCTAAGTTATTAAAAATTAACCTAGTATTTTTTTGCCATTTAAGAAAACTGTATTTGACTGGGGGAAATATTAAGCAATATAGGTTATGATATACTCTACTGCTACTTACAAAGTGAATTTTGATAAATTTTAAGATTAGTAACAATGGGTGGTGAAAGGATGAGACTTTACGCCTCTTGGTATCCTTTGTTTCCATTATTTTATGTTCCCTTTTCCACTCTAAACTTTGTTTAAGACTGAGAAAATTGATCTGCAGACCGGGAGACCAGAGCGCTGTGCCTGGTGAGAGGATGGTCGTCCACGTGTTCACCTCCTCCTCCTCGGGCTTCGTGACGATAAAGAAGAAGCAGCAGGATGTGGTTAGATTTCTGGAAGCCAACAAGATGAAGTCTGAGGAGGTGGACATCATGATGTCAGAAGAGCAGAGGCAGTGGATGTACAAGAACATCCCCCCGGAGAAGGGGCCTGTTCAGGGCAACCCTCTGCCACCTCAGATATTTAATCGTGACCGATATTGTGAAGATTATGACAGTTTCTTTGAATCCAAGGAAAGCAACACAGTCTTTTCATTCTTAGGCCTGAAATCACAGTTGGCATCAAAGGAAGAACCTTAGCGAAGACAAGTGGAAGAGGACAGAGATGCATTTTGGAGCGCCCCTGGTACTCAGCACACACCTGCTTACCTAATGCATCACTGTGACAGAAGCCACATGCATTATCAGTAACTTTGCTTGCTATGGAAAAGGTGTTTGGGGAAGACATGGGTCTAATGGGATTGCATGAGTGCTTTAAACCAAATCAGGACCATGGTGGGGTTTTTTCTTGTTTTCAGAATTGCCTGCAGTTGCCTCACTCACCCGGAGGAGGTACTGTCACCTGTTACAGGTGTGCTTCCTGAATGAGTGATAAGCGAGTGGCACCATCAGAGAGAAAGTACTGGATCTGTCCTGGGTTGTAGTTGATGCCAGGATTGCTGAGACCTGCTTCTCTTCAGGCTGCCAAGGTGGTATCCTTGAAATTAGTCTGCCAGGTTATTAGAATATTTTGATCAGAAAGAAAAAAAGCGATGTTGGTTGACAAAGGGCTAAAGATCTTTGCTGCAGATTCACAAACATCACTATTCCAGTGCTTGTCATACTGAAGAAAAAGTTAGATGTTCTAGCCTCCTTTTGGTAATGGAAATTCTTACCCCCATAAATCCTCCAAGCCTCTACAGACGTTTCCAGAAATCACTGTTGCAGCAGTGTGTGATCAGAACCGAGTGACAGGGATGAAAAGAATTGCTGTTTTAAAAAATACATGCTTCTTTATCACTTACAAAGGAAAAGTTTCACCTAATGTGTAAGATTGCTTAAAAGATATATTTAAAGAGGTGCACTGACAGTTAATTTATAGGGACATAATCTGATTCGTACCTGAAAGAACTTCAGCTATAGCAACTTTAGCAACTTATTTATGCATAAGTGCATATATATTTTTAAACGCAGCTCCCCTAACTAATAGCTGCTTATATATTTTGCGAAGGGATCGTATTTTTTGAGAAAGGAAGATCTCGGTTAGATATATTTTGTGAACCCTTGATGAGGCAAATTAAAAGATACTAATATTGCTGTACAATTTAATTTTTTTTCCTGTGTTACTTTTCATTGGTCCTCTGACTCTGCCAGCTCATATCTCTGGCCAATGCACAGTCCCGGATTTTCAGAGTAACGTAGATACGTGTTTTCATTCCATATATGAACACCAGTGATATTTCAGAACAGAGTACATACAAGAAAGGGGCTGTCAGAGACTCACTCTGAATTGTACTTGGCGTGTGATATCTCTCCTTCCTTTGGAGTGGTTGCTGATGAACACCGAACCTGTAGACTTCATTAGGGCAAAGGCTTCTTTTCTGCATCCTTGTCCCTGCTCACATTTTTAGAGTTTTTAGTTGCCAAACTTGGGAGTAGCCTTGAATAGAATAAATTCAGAGGGTTGCCTAAGATATTCTGCTATTCTCAGCATCCTGATGGTGAACCTGCCCTTTAGATTCTGAGCAGGAAGTTTGTAAGAAATGGAAAGAACAGAAGAATTTAGGCCCTGTCACCTGTGTTCTCTCTCCCTCCTATTCTAAAGAACTTGTTGAATGCTAAAGCTGACATCCCAGCCTGAGATTTGCATCTCAGGACTACAACCAGAAGAAAAGCGTGCCACTGATTCCTATGTGACTGGAACAGATACATAATCCACAATTTTCTCCCCAAGGAAAGCTGCTGTAAAATCATGGCTATAACTGCTTAGTTGGCATTAAATACGATCCAGGTCAAATTCCACTTTATAAATCCCAGGGACTATCCAGGAAATTTTTTTTGAACTGGATATTGTGTTAAAGTCTAAGAAGACTTAGAATTTCTTAAGATACAGCAATTTTTAAAAAGTTAATGTTGCAATGGTCTAACTTACATTTTGTCTACTCTTGCCAGTGAGTACCAAGAAGCAACTTGGTAAGACTGAGTCTTGGGGTTGTAGGATCAATACAATACTTGCTAGACCAAGAAAGCTACTCAGAATTGTTTGTCTGAAAACTTCTGAATTACTCTGGTTGTAGTAGGCCCAGTATGGTTGTCCTAAACAAACTAGATGAATAGGAGTGCTAAATTATTTACCACAGTTACAGATCATCTACCTCACCCCACATTTTCTTTTTCTTTTTTTTTTTTTCTTTTTTTGGAGCAGCAAAGAAATAGGAGAGACCAGTTTCAACTGGGATTGTACTTGTTATAAGCAAGCTAGAAGCACATTGTGTGGCATTTCCCTCAGTACCCAGGCTCTGAAGAGTCCTAAGGTATTACCCTCTGGGACCACACTGTGTTCAGAGAATACTGTGTCCTTACTTGTGTTTTACCAGCTGAATTCCAAACATGTAATGGTTTTCTTCATCCCTTCTTTAACTAGCTACCTTTAGATCTGGAGATTCACAGTCTTAAAAATCTAGGAAAGAAGTGGATGGGAATTGCAGACATAGATGTAATATCAAAAGCATTTTAAGACAGAAATTTTATTTCCTGTAGTAGGCTTGTTGGGGCAAAGAAAATGTGCTGCTAAAAAGCAAATGATGCCATTTTAAAATGAGATAAAATACAGAGTGCCATCCTGCTAGGTATATGCAGACCAGAAGAAAATTTAGTTGGGCAAGTACTTGTTTTTCCAGATTCTGGTATTCTATTAAAATCAAAGGGGAGAAAAGGAAGATTTTTTTTTCTCTCAGGTTCTAATATATTTTAGATTTGTTTCTGTTTTATAGATTTATTCAATACTTCCACATAGATGTTTTTATATTACATGAATTTAATAATGAACTAAACTTACTTTTGTCCTCTGTTGTTGAAAGGTACCAAAGCCTCTTTCTGATTTGTTTTGTTTTGTTTTGTTTTTAATCTGATTTTGCTGTATAGGGTTTTGCTTTTTCTAGAAACGCTTTTCATTTAACATCTTTTCTAAAGTGTCAGAGCCCATTTTGATCTGCAAAATTATTCTTTTTAGATTTCGGTTTGTATGCATTTGTCTCTAAAGGCATTGGTGAAATCTCAGATTTTATATTCAGCATTAAAGAGGAATAAATTCCAGGAAAAATAAAAAGAATGAGAAAATTGAGCAATAATGAAGGAAAAGAATGTGGAAATGTGGCATTTCAGAAAACAACATGGATATGCCATTATTCTTGGACTGCAATATTTTGTTCCATGGAAAAATATCCTGACCTCACTTCAAGATAGCCTTTGTGAACAGAAACACATCAGTTGATACCTCCATATAATTGTTGACTTAGCAGCTGCCGTCCTTGCTTTATAAATATTGTCTCATTTTCAAAACTTATTTGCTTAAATAAAAGCTGCTGCTATGAGGCTTATAGGTTAATTATGCCTATTCACAAAATAATGTTTTAAATTTGTTGCTAAAAATTTCTGGATCTAGTAGCAAAATTATTGTAACATAAAAAAATGCTATTTACCATTTGTAGTTAAGAGCTGATAGAGACCTGATTCACTGTGGGACGGACCACACAAGGGTGTGAATACCAGGAGGCAAGGGTGATTGGGGGTCATCTTAGAGGCAGTGTCATATTATGCAAATTTGAGAAACAATACTCTTTGTGAATAGTTTTGAGAGTCTTCAGGGCCCCTACATATTCTCCATGGCCCCTGAATGCCCTGAAGGCAATGAAAAACAATTTGTCATTCTTGTGGGAAACATGGAATTAGTAGGCTGTGATCCTTGTGGCTCCTGAGCAAATGTCCCCAAGATCTGTGCGTCCTTTTCCCAGAATGTTTACATCTTGCAATAAGGAAGGAGAATACGTAATGTCTACATATTCCCTGTTAGAAGTTCTTCTTTGTTTAGAAACTATGCTCAACTGCTTTCTACATTTCAAGTAAAGAAATTGTCAAGAAAGTAAAAATAAAAGGAGCAGATAGAGATAGCCCACTGCCTCATCAATACTCTTACACATTGAACAACTTACATCTCTTCTTTTAATACCACATTTTGTCAAACACATCAACATGAAATGACAGAGATTAAACATCTTATGACTGTGCAAGTAAAACCATCATGTTAGCATTAACATTCATACCAAACATTAGAACATCCTAAACTGAAGAGAATTCTAGCCCATGATCACCCATTCTAAACATTTGAGTTTACAGATGGTGAACCTAAATAATAAAATGTATTATCCTATTAACCTATACTAAGAAACACCCATTGCGTGCAAAAGCTAATAGTTTGTCACAGCTACAAAACTGAAAAAGCAGCACCATCAGACTGATAATGCCATATGATCTGCCATGTAATGAAAATACCAAATGTTATATTCCTGAAAAAAATGGGAATTTTTTTCTCTGGCTATGGAATGTTATGTTCCCTTTGGATTATCTTCTGTGGGCCCATTTTTACCCTGAGATAATAAAAGCTTTGTATGAGTAACCTAGGATAGACTACGGTCTTTTGAAACTAACTTTTTCTTACTGCCAAATAAATCTCTTTTAAATATGTTCTCTGTGAGGCAATCATGACATCCATTGGCCAACTGGATCTGGGGTTATGCCTGGATACTTTCCACATTGCACGTGGTTGTCAATTTGAATTGTGTATCAACTACCCATCATATCTGGCACATCTGTACTTAACATTGGCATTAATTTTACCCTATTGTTCTAATTGCAGTACTTTGATGTAATGACACCATTCAATTCACAGATGGTACTGGTGGGGGGTTTTCCCAAAAAAATATAATGTAATTTTAATTTGGAATGTGAGAATGCCAAAAATAAGAGCTTCATTGATTAAGTTATCCGAGGCTGCTAAACATTTGAACATTTGAAGTACATCGGAAAAACTGGGAGAGAGAACAGCAGGTTTCAGTACCAACCTATTGCAAATGTTTTGTTTTTTGATTATAGTCTCTGGGACTCATAAGACTTATCTGTTCACAAACTAACTTTGACATACTTAGGAAAAGCAAAAAAAATATCTATATTTTCAAAAAAATAAACTCCTTTTGTTAAAGGTGAAATCATTTGGTGAATTGAGAGGTCTGAAATTTGAAAAGTAATCATTTAATTTAAATGAA